AATAGTACATTATGAGTTCCTGCCACTGAAGCTTTCTGTATTGGATACACGATTTTACATTATCTTGTTTTTCATTTTTATCAGTGCTTAAGTGTATTTTATATTGGTATATGTTTGCTAGCATGTCGAAAACGGTGAATCGTTGTCTTTGATTAACCATTTTCTCAAGAGAAGAAATGCAGCTGATGATTACAAGATCATGATATTTGATTGCGACAATGTTATCTTTCAAATTTGATGAATGAATGCGTCCAGTATTACAATAGATTTGCGCAATGTCAACAGTTGCGTTTAATTCATCATCATTTAACAAATTTTCTTAAGCTTTGACGGCTATTTCATAATGCAACAGTGCTTCATTGTAATTGTGTTCGATAAATTCATAGTGTTGAGCTTTACAACGCGACTCAATTGCCTCTAACCACCCTTGCTCATCGGAAACGTTTCCTTCAGCTCATCAAAAATAAAACTCGTATCTTCATCTATAGCTCCCGTTTCCACTATACAACTTTTGAACTTTTCTCTGACTGTCATGCTGAGTCAAATCTTGTAATGTCTAATCTTGCTGATGTGAATTTGTTGTTCTATCAAATTTGCTCGTGAGAATTTCTGTTGAGCTGACTTTGTTGAGAGAGTAGGCATAATTGTCAAATAAAATAATTATTTATTCTTTATTATATTAAGTCAAATTTTTCATTTCATGTTACAGCACTATGAGATAAAAAATTTGGCCTAATACATTCGCAAAAGACATCTGAAAGGTTTGTTAGACACCTTATGTAACAAATTTGAATAATAGAAAAGATATTTAATTGGTTAAACGCTCCTGCGTAAATAGTTGCCTTAGTGGTAATATCTAGTATAAAAGCTATTTTAAAGTGTCGTGGCTTTCTGATTCTATAATTTAAGATGGTATAATTCGTATGGATATTTTTCTCTAATCTCTTACCAGTTACGTACACATGTAAAAAAGAAGGTGATGGCACAACTGGTTGTTAAATAACAAATAATGATTAAAATGAGCACATTTTTGTATTCTCTCACATTACTTTCAAGAATGCATAACTTACTATGGGAAGAGCATGATAGCACACAAACGGATGGAGAACGCATAGTCATAGCACTGTTGTCTAATTTAGAATGATGCAGAACGAGCCACGAAAAAAACCTGAATAAAGAAGTTGCCTCTTTCAATCGAGTTCATGTAAAAGTATTCAAACTGTTTTTGCTCCATAATAATACTATCGAGAAACAAGCAATTTTATTTAGCTAGAGTGTCTACATCGGCATATGAACAAATAAAAATCTGACAACTATCTTTTGAACAGACGTAAATTAAACCATCGTTTGTATAGAAGTGTACGAATCGACAATGTTATAGACAATATTTAGACAAAATCAAATAAGCAAATCTATTTGATTTATATTTGCATTTTGGAATACCTTTCTTAAATTTTGCATAAACCTCTCAGCTTCTGCGTTAGCCCTTGGCCAATATGGTGTAATAGCTCTATATTTTAAGCCATAATAGTTGCAAAAATTGTCAAATTCAGCTCCATTAAATGGTGGGCCATTGTCAGTTTTAACTATTTGTGGAATACCAAATGGTGGCAGTGATTCGTGCAGTTTTGATAATATGTAATGCGATGCTGTTGTATTCACTTCATGAATTATTACAAATCGTGCATATACGTCTGTAATCAACAATAAATATGTACCTGAATCAGTTGCACCATAAAAATCTAATGCAATTAATTGCCATGGGCTTGATGGTAATTCTGACGTTTGACATGGTTCATGTTGCACCGTTGGTGAATTTGTTTGGCAAGTATAACAACTACTCAAACGTGCGTTAATCAATTTATCTAGACCTGGAAAATATACATTTGATCTCAATAATGCTTTTGTTTTCTTGACGCCTTGATGCCCATCGTGCGCTATATCAATTAGACGATCATATAAGCTTTCTGGAATAACAATTTTATCATTTCTCATAATTGCTCCATCAGATGTACTTTATCGTCCAAAATTTCGTTCAATAATTCTTCTCCTGTGATTGCTTTTGGTAAGCCATGTTGAAATATACAATTTACCATTTGATGCTTCAAATTCTGGTATAATTGGATTGCGAGCTAAATAATCACTTGGGTTGCATTTACCAGGATGATATTTTACAATGAAATCGTATTGGGCCAGACGTAAACACATTCTTTCTATACGTGCTGATGTTTTTGCTTTTGGATTTTTGAAAATATATTGTAGAGCTTTATTGTCTGTTACCAGTGTAAAGATTCGACCGTAAAGATACATATGGAACTTTTCGCAGCCCCATACGCATGCTAGGCCTTCCTTTTCGATCTGCGAGTATCGGCGCTCAAGGTCCGATAGTGCCCTGCTTGCGAAGCTTAATACGCGTTTGTCTCTTGCATCTTTTGAATTCACTTGAGTTAATATTGCACCCAAACCAACTGAACTTTTATCAACGACCAATCCAAATTCCATTTTGGTTCAGGAAAGACTTTAGTATACAAAACAAATTTGTTTTTCTCGAGTTTAAGTTTTATCAGGGCAAGGGCAAAATTATTTCGTTGTTAAAAAGTCCTAGCATTAGCGATATTTTTCTCTAAGATGTTTAATTAAGTTTTACAAAAAGTTAATATGTCTTTTTATTAGCGATGTGGAAGCAAATTTTCTAGAACGAGCTTTTCTGCCAGAAAAAATAATTATTATTTGAATAAACGATAAAAGTCACGTTTTACTTACGAATTGAAGTATGAACGTTTTGGTTTGAACGAGCGGAAGATAGAACGTGATGAGTTGTGGATCAATCAAATAATTAAATAAGATAAATACATTGTGAATCTTCAATTAGTGGAGTTGGAGTTTTAACACGAAATCCATCATCGTTTATTCCAATGATCTGAACATTAGCTTTATCACTACAATTATCATCCTAGAAGTTAACTTGTTGTTTTTGTTGTTGCTGAGACCGAGATAATGAATTGAAATCACGACGATTTACTTCTGATTCTTTTTTATCATGTCTTCCATGAAACTTTACTCCTGAGCACCAGATTGAGGATGATATAGCGCGTGGAAAAACTTTGAATATGTCATCAGCTTCGCTACCATTTCCCAGAACAGAATGGGCAAATGATTCTACTGGAATCTTTACTTCAATATGATATAGTGGCCAACTGACAGATTGGATAGTTTTCAAACTTTTACCATGCATCCTAGTTGGCCGAACTTACAGCAATTCTATAAAGATCTTATAGAAATCTTTTTAGAGTCTTATAGAAGGCTGTGGAAATGGGTAGAATATTAATAAGATTCTTATACGAAGCAATATAAGAATCTTATAAGATTCGAATAAGAATTTGGTAAGACAGATTACATAATTGGTTTAGAAGAATTCATAAGATTTTTGTAAGGTAACGTCGAACTTTCATTTACATCAATTAAAGCGCCTGATTGTTTGTAAAGTGAACGGGTGACCCTGCGTCGTATGGGATCCTATAAAACACAGGAAGTCGTTTAAGATCGAGAAAGCTTGCGTACTCATACCATAGGAATTCGTGTGATGTCTATTAGGATAGTCTGGTACTTCTTAAAGGATTCTATCACCGAGTCCTATATTGGGTTACAATCGATGGTCGGTTTTCGGTTAATAACCGAAACCGATGCATACCTAATAGGAAACCCATGAAATAATGTGCATTCTTACATAGGATTACCTATGATTTTGTCAGAATTATATTGAGATAAGTTTGTATTTTCCTATTAACAACTCATTGAAGTGTTTCTCAACGACACGTTCTCTGTTGCGATCAATCAAGAAAATCGTTTCTTTGACCACGAACTATTGGATGATGAGTCATGCAGGTAACTGCACAGGAAGTTATTTTGTGACTACTTCTAGTGCTTTATTAAGACAGGTATGAAAAGGTTTGATGCATATTAGTAGTAGTCGAGCTGTTTTATCTTCTACCAGTTAGAAAGTCTAAATTGAAGGTTACGGTCTTATAGAAAAATAAATAAGTAGGAAGAAAATTATTTCGTTCGCGTGTGTCAACAGTAGATCCCCTCATGAATGTACTTGGTACACATATTTAGTTACTTGATGAATACTTGGGTAATGCGTGAGAAGTTAAGCACTCGGCTAGTACTTGAGCAAGAACTTACCAAGTGTCGTTACCTGACTTGTTCCAGCCAAGTACTTGGACCAGTCAGTCAAAAAAGTAGACTATAGCCCCAAAATATGAATAAAATACAAAATAAAAATAAATGGAACAAGTACTTGACTGAACTTTTCAAGTAAACTGTATTAACCAAGTGCTTACATTTTACTTGTGAAGTATTTTCTTAAGTATTTGACAAATAAATATTAAATAAATTACTTAATCCAAGTACTTGCTCAAGTACTTGGCTAAAGTATATCCACTAGGGTTATAGTAAAAAAGTAGAATACGGTATTAATTACTATAAAATGCGATGAAATTTTATTATATCCCATACTGTAGCTGACTCGTCAAGTCTATCTAACTGTGTCTCACCAGTGATCATCAATTCTGCATCGCTGAGTCGGATTAGGTTGAGTTGTCATGAGCTGTGAACAATAGGATTACAAAGAAATTACTTAACGTGACTTCTCTCACCTCTAGAAAGTTAATATTCGTTCAGAAGAGTTTAGTTTTGATATAAATGGAGAATCATATCGTCTAAAATATCTGCTACCAAAATCTATGAAAGAATTTGTCGGTATCAACGGTTTTTAGAGGATTTTCTTGAAGTACAGAATTCTGCATGCGTCATACATTTTCCTATACGAGAAAACGGAAAAAAAGAACATTCTTTACCTCTATCGTATTCCATGCTTTCCACGGATTATCATTTCAAACAGAAGTGAAAAGGTATTCATGTATGGAAAATGTCTCATTCGATTGTAGTGATGTCACGGCTAAAATACTTAAAAGGAACGTGATAGATATGTCTACGTCAAATCAAGTTTTCTCAGTCAATACCAAACAATTGTCCTATCAGTTTTCTTCCATGTATAATTCTGTATCTAACATTAGAAAATTGTTCCCGAACTACCACAGTAGTTACTACTGGCATCACAAGAAACGCAAGCATCAGAACAACGCAAACAAGATTTATATCTTGCTCATTAATTACTCCAACAAATATTGTACGATAAATAAATTAGTTTTGACAACCTTGACGTTTTTACGTGTTTTATAAAACTAACTATATTTAATATAATTGAAAAACATTTTTGTAAAATGATTTTACAAGACAAGAGAGCTTGCGCTACTTCACAGTATCATCATGAAAAAAGACTTTAAAACAATGTCTTTCAATTAAATTAAATATAGTTAGTTTTAGATGAATTAGTAACATTGGTGATTTAATATTAAGAGAAGAATTAACTGAATCGGAAATTGTATTAATTTGTATAAAAACATTATCAATATGTCATCAAATTAATTATCGATATAAGATTCAGTTCATTTTTAAATTCGACGTTGTTCTACTTAAAAAGATTTATTTTATAACGCCTACGTTGCTATTTTTTAATCGCAATAAATTCGCATGATTCATTGAGCTCATAGTTAGCTAACTAACACTAGGCACGAGAAAAAATGTCGGTTTCCTTGTTAATTAGACATCTGGGACTCCGATCGAAACTGTAATATTGTCAGATCATGGAAAATTTCTGAATTGGTATCACGACTTTTTTCTGCTTTTACATTTAAAACTGAGTATAGAAAACTAAAATGAAGATATTCGAGACTACAACTGGGAGGTGCATCCATCAAAAAGAAAAAAGAAAATTCACTGATATCTGTATTGAACTAAAGTAAAATTCAAGTGTCAAAATACTAAATTAGCCTCTTTTATGGCTTAGATATGATAAGCCTTTTATTCTTCCACTACACAGCCGGAAAAATATTCCATTACTATATTCTAAATTAAAACTATCAAAAAACAAAAAATCAATTTTGTACGAATCTATGAACTTAGCTTTGAAATAAAACCACAAAACTAAACTCTAAGTATCTTAATTTTATGCTCCTAAGTTAAATTAGAATTCATTCTACGATTATGATATATATAAGCCTGTCAAGAGTGTATATTTTCCATCTATCATCTCTTATCTGTTCTTCTTACGCTAAGGATTCAAGACACTATTGTGTTGCCAAAACAACGATAAGTATTTCGATCAAATATGCAAACATAAAGCTGAATTATATGATAGAAGCAGAAAAGTGAAATGCGGTGGAAGAAATATTCGTCGACTTTCTTCATGTCTGTAAAATTCAAAAAGTAAGCCGACACGTTGCTGTTGGTGGGACTGTAATGATAAGAATACAACTCTTTGTTGACTATATTACATGCGCTCTCTAGAAAAAGCAATGCATTTCTCTTCTCTTCAGTTATGTCAATAGAACACTTCTAAAGTAAAATACAATAGTGTACGGCAAACGAATTTGCTTTCTTCTATCTAAATGAAAATTTAGTAAAATGTCTGCTTCTGAATGAACAAATATAAAGAAATGTTATACAAAACAAGAAATAAAGATGTTAAGGCCCCCTCCCTCAGAAATGGTGATTTTCGGTCAAAAAATCGGTTTTGAGATACGCACATGAAAAGATAGCCTGAAGGGTCTATTTCCAGAATCTGTATTGCTTTTGGTTACAAAAGTGGTTTTTCCGGGATTTTGAGCAAGTTTTCTAAGAGCCTCGAAAAAATGGGCCTTCAAATAACGACTTTTTCCTGGATACTTAAGCAATTAAAATTCTTCTGAAAACACAGCTTTGTAGAGCAAACGTTTCTGATCAAAATAAGACTTCGCACAACTCTGTATGACCTTGCG